ATGCTGCTTGGCCTGCTGTGTTCATCCAGCTCTACACCTTGTTATCTCTGGATATCAAAGAACTTAGACAATCAACAATGTCAGCTGATGTGAGTACAGATCTGTAGATAGGCATTGACCAGCCAGAAAACAGCTTTTTTAGCTGATTAAAATCTCAGTTCCTGCAACTTCAATTTGAAACAAAAAGATAGTCAAAGATTTCTAGCAGCGTAGTTACAAGCCTCTCATGAAGGAAAATTCAACTTAAATGCACTTAAAAATGGGTTTTCCGTGCTATGAAGGCTTACCTGTATTGAGCAGTCAATCAATTGGCCCATTTTCTTTCTTCAAATCGGCACCAAAATGAAATGAAGCCTGTGATGTCATCAGTCCTTATTTGGCATAAACACCACCTAGAAGCAGAAATCTGCTACTGCAAGCCTACATTTCTTTATAGAAACAATTTTAAAAGAATTAAGCCCTGTTAAGGAGCAGCAATGAGAAAAATAAAGAAAAACAGAAGCCAGCTCTGAAAAATGTACAGCACACCATCAATGCATGGAAGGAATGAGGAAGATCATGATGATTGTTCAGTCATGTTGAATGACAACAATTGGCAGCAAGATAACAGAGCTATCAAACATGTGCAACGGAGAACAACTCCTACCACTCCAGATTGGTATACAAGCACCAGTTTAGGATAAATTGTCAAACCTCAAGTGTTTCATTGGATCTAAATTGTAAACTCTGTTTTTTTACTTGTTTTTTATAATTATCAAAGTGATAATACATCCCTATATACAACCATGTCTTTCTGTTAGGGATTTTTAACAAAAAAAACTTTTGGGGAAAGGGGATATTGTGTTATGGCTCACCTTCCATATATTCATACACTTTGAGACATGCTCATCACTATCGTGTAACCTGAGGGTATAAAGATCATGGACTCCATCTTGATTCTGGTCACTTGAAGCTTGTGATGCTGAATGAAGTATATTACAGCATTCTTTGTAATTGATTAGCCCAATGTTAGTACAGACCCTGTTGTGCCTGTGAATTTAATATTTGTATATATTATTGGTGAGCTGTAGTAAATGTCTGTTGGATCTCTCTGTACCACATTATGTGTCCCAGTTTCTTATTTTGAGGGATATTGTGAGCATTGCCACATTAAGTAAAGGTACCCTGCTGGAAACAAAACACACCAGATATTGACAGTTATAATGTAGTCTGGCAAGCCAGGTGCTAGAAGATTATTTACTTTGCACCATGTTCCATTTGTTTTGTTGAGATGATGGGTTAACAAACCAATTTCAGTCAGCCTCTATCTGCACCCAAAATAAAGGACATAATATGTAGTATGTCACACGAGAATTGTAATGGAGATGGAACTATAACAAACTATGGAGAAATTAATTGCAGTCTTTACGAAATGTAAACCTATTTCATTAATTAAGGAGGAAAATCAACTAGGAAATAAGTTAAAAGTGGAAATGGGAGTCAAGGCAGGAAGAGAAGCGTAGATTAAAAATAGCATTAAATGAGGCATCTCGGTATCCAAATGAAGATTCTGTTTAGACCCAGAGCTCTGGAAATAAAGCACATTTGAAAAATTTTAAACCTTTATTTCTTAAAATGGATGATGCTGTCAAGGCATGGGATCGATGAATTAATCTTTTTCTGCCAGATCATCAAAATTTGTAAAACAATGCATCAGCATTAACAACTGTCATAACTTAAATTTACTTCTTAATACTGAATGTTGAAATAATCACAGACTGGTTTACCTAGCAGATTGGACCACAAACAATTAATGGTTAATTACCTAAATGAATAATAGAGGCAGTTGAGGGTAACATTAGAATCTTGCACTCGCTAAATGACTGAGCATCGAGCTATGATTAGCTCATTTCCTGCAAATTGTAACTTCTTAGATGGCAAACAAGCTAACAACATGGCATTGTTAGTCTATTTTTGGTGTGCTCAACTTGTGGCACACATGCCACCCACTGCTGGGGTCTAAGCATTTCATACAGCTTGATTTACACTCTCTACTGGGGGAGTGATAGGCTGCCAATTTCATGCTAATTTTTCTTTCCCAAACGTTTGGCATTGATCAACCTTTTGCAATCTTGATTTAAATGCAAAATATTTGGTGTGTAATAACGCTGGTGGAAATTTTGGAGTGTAAAGCTCATGTATTATTTTCTTGAGCTAAAAGGGCCTGAGTCACACTGTCAGGGTTGGGGGCTGAAGGAGAGAGAAAGGGATGAGAAAGGCTCAGTGTGCTCCACAAGAGGCGACCCACGGGTTAATGTTAGTTAAACCTAACTCAAATTGGGGCTGCTTTTTTTTTCCTCTCTAGTCTGTTTAATGAAAAAGGCAAAAAGTGGCTTTATTTTTAAGCTTTGCTGCTTAGGGCTTTTTAATGGTCATTTGTCTTAATTACTCATCTCAGTTGTCAATTTATTGCTTTTGAATTTTTTTTAGTTCACTTTTACCATTGCTATAACCCTTGCCTATCTTAAATTTGCTGACTAGCCCCTTGAATAAAATGTAAATGTGCCCCTCCCTGCCCTGCCCTCATGTAAAGGTTAGACAACCTTGTGTTTGTGGGCTGCTGGTTCACAATGTTGTCAGAACTTGTACGATCTTTCCCTAATGGGTGGTAACATGGAGTTGATTTTCTTCCACCCCTGGGGAAAACCATGTCTGGGATGTGTAGTTGAACATGGAGTTATCTGTTCCACATTGATGCAGCTGGAGCAGTGGATATATCTTGCACGTTCACTCGCATAGCTCCTTGATCATTAAACAACATGTACAATTAAGCAACATCAACTTTGTAACTAGCTAATTATTGACATGCAACCAGTCCAGTGTATATATTGTCTTCTTGTGAAGTTAGCCTTCTAAATCTGACGAGTAAAATTTACTGTGGGAGAAGACATTGGAGGGTTCTCCTGAGTAAAGAGAATCTACTGATGTGCCTCCATTGTGACGTAACATTCGAGCAAAAATCCTTTCTGTGCAGTTGACCAATCTGGGTTATGTGTATGTCAGAAGCATTCACTTTTATTTTAAAGATTCACTCAATTTTATTCATCACACAAAATTTTTGAAGATGTCAGTGAGGCACAGCTGCCTAGACTAGTCAGGTGCCACGTTTATAGCTCCCTAAGCTTTCAGCCTTTTAACTATGGGTCTGTTACAAGACCAAACAGTGAGGCATAAAAATATCGTACTTTAAGTTACTGGCTTAAGAATAGCTTCTTAATGTTGACTGCCTTATCACTGGTAAGAAGTGCTGTGTTTAAATAATGGGCGGCACGGTGGCTCAGTGGTTAGCAATGCTGCCTCACAGCGCCAGGGACCCGGGTTCGATTCCATCCTCGGGCAACTGCGCAAACTCCACACAGACATTCTCCCCGTGTCTACGTGGGTTTCCTCCAGGTGCTCCAGTTTCCTCCCACAGTCCAAAGATGTGCAGGTTAGGTAGATTGGCCATGCTAAATCACCCGTAGTGTTCAGGGACATGTAGATTAGGGGGATAGTTCTGGGTCGGATGCTGTTTGTGTCGGTGTGGACTTGTTGGGCCAAAGGGCCTGTTTTCACACTGTAGGGATTCTATGAAATGATCTAAATAGTTCTGCATTCCCAGTATTCAAGTCGCCTGCTGCCTCCATGTTGTGTGGATTCCTTTAAGTTAAAATTTTGTTATCAGTATTTATGGAAATATGCAACGTTTAGCTGCAGTCTGTACTAAAATTATTCTCAAAAATGAATCTGTTAACACCATTCCTTGGTTATGAGAAACTTCAAAATAATCCTTGATTTCATATTTAGTCTGGAGAGTTGTAATCGCTTGAAAAATGGTCTTACTGTTGAATCTTCTGGTTCAGCTGAGACTTAACTATGTCACTGACTCCTAAAATAAAGTGTGATCTGTGCATCTTTCAGAAATTGAAATGTAATTTTGATGTTCTGCTTCTACAGAAGATTGCCTTGCTGAGGATGGTGCATTATTGGTCAACCCACATTTGCAAGTCATTGGGATGGAAAATGTTTATGCAATAGGAGATTGTGCAGATGTGAAGGAACCTAAAATGGCTTACCATGCTGGACTCCATGGAGTGGTCGCTGCAGATAATATTATCAACAGTCTTGGCAAAAAGTGTCTGAAAGATTACAAACCAGGTAGAGGTTCTGCAGATGGTTTTAGCAAATTACATTGTCATTGCCTTTTGAAATGATCAATGTGATATTGGAGCATGTTTTTAATTTTTTTTGATTCAATATTCTTTCTTTTTCCTGCTCTCTTCACCCTTCTGCCCTCATTCCAGTCACCTATGGAAACACACCAGCTAAAATGAATTTGAAGTGAGGTGGATGTTTATATGCCTTAGTAAGCTAGCATTTGGAAGTAGTTTCCTCCAATTAAAGAGGTCCATGCCCATTGGAATGATGATGTGAAAGTATGGGGGCTTGTTGCAATTGAAGCAGTAATGCACAATGCTTTTATTTTGGCATATGTGGGAATGTATCAGTTCACTACAAAAAGCTGTCACTTACAAGTAAGACTCCATTCATTTGATGCTGTACAATAACTAAAGTTCAGCCCTTTTGTATATTTCTGCACTGTCAACTCAAGAATACACTGTCTATGATACAGTATGACATAGGGAAGAGTGAAACACTCAGTGATGGAACTAGTGTCTAACTACCTGTGTTTTATTTTCTTTTTGTTCGTTCAAGGGATGTGAATGTTGCTGGTGGACAGCATTTATTGCCCATCTCTGGTCACCTTCAAAGGTGGTGGTGAGCTGCTGTCTTGAACTGATGAAGTCCTCGTGTGGAAGGGGCAACCACAATGCTGTTTGGAAGGGAGGTCCAAAAATTTGATCTAGTGACAGTAGAAGAGCGGTGATATAGTTTCATGTTAGGATGGTGTGTGACATAGAGGGGACCTTGCAGCTAGTGGTGTGCCTATGTATCTGTTGTCCTTGTTCTTCGAGGTGATAGAGGTTGAGTTTGAAAGTTGCTGGGAGTGAGTTACTGCTGAGTTAATGCAGTGTATCTTATGGTACACACCAGTGTCACTGGGGAAGGAATGAATGTTGAAGGTGTTGGATGAGATGCCACTCAAATGGGCTATGTCCTGGATGATGTCAAGCTTCTCATTTATTTGTTGGAGCTGCACCCATCCAAGCAAGTGGACAGTATTTCATCATACTCCTGACTTGTGCCTTGTAGATTGTGGATAGGCTTTGGGGAGACAGGAGGTGACTATATGATCTGAAATTGAAATAACATAGGTTCTTGATTAGTAAGGGGATCAACGGTTATGAGAAAAGACAAGAGAATAGAGAAAAGGATAGAGAAAGACATCAGCCATGATTGAAAGGTGAAAAAGATTCAAAAGGCTGAATGGCCTAATTCTCCTCCTATATCTGATGGCCTTGCATGGTATTCTTTAATATTTGGCATGAAAGTTTGGAATAGGTTGTGGTGGTAATGAGTGCAGAGTGCAAAGCTTGTATTCTAACTTTGTAGGTATTATTCCAAATGGCCCTTTTTTCTGCCTTATTTCATCCTGGTGCCTGAGTTATGCAGCTATGAATGTACACTACATAATCATGCATTCTTGAGAATAAAGTACAGGTGACTCGCAGAACACCAAGGCAGTACACTATTATGTAGTGGAATGGGATTCTGCACTGGATCAGTGTTTCTAATCTTCCCAGGTGATACTAAATGCAGCCAAGGCTTTCTGAAGATAAGTGAATGATATCTGTAACAATTCATTGTTTCTACTTTTGTGAATTTGGTTTTACTGTCATGTGTATCTTACAGTAAGAATGCAGTGAAAAGCTTTCATTTGTTTGCCATGATTTGGCCCCATTTTGAATAATTTAAGAAGGAGGGGAGAGAAAGATGTAGCTTAAACAGAGTCCATCGGTCCTGAGCTAGCTCATCACCATCAACAATGCCTCTGCCGCCACCCCTCCACCACCTTGCCGCCGTTCACATCGGACCCAACCGGTGTGGAAGTCGCCAATCCTCAGGTCCTATCTTTTGCCACAGGGTTGATACTCCTCTGTCACACCGGACCAACGAATGTTGGAGTCACGTATATCACTGCTGGGCCCACTTCACTGTTGATGTGATGCCCTTCCATCACCACTTTGCCACGCCAGCACCTGACCCAATCAATGACTAAGTCACCGATCCTCAGACGGCCGCTTGGCCAACTCGCCGAAGTCACCTCCATTGTAGCAGTCACCGATTTCCAATGCCACTTCCTGGGCTCACCCCAAAAAGGTAAAGACTTGATTGAAGTCCCCACTGACCCCACTCGGGGTCCCTGTGCTGGGCCCACTCGAGGTCCGTACTAAGCTCTTGCTGCTGCCGATGCCGTCCAAGCTCAGGATAGAAAGATAAATAAAGTTTTAGAGAGAAAAAAGGAAATGAAAAGCAGTCAGAGTGGATGAGCTTCGACTTAGGAACCCTGCTCCGCCATCTTGTTCAGTATTTCCACAAGGTCAGATGCAAGCTGTCATTAGAGGCTTAAGAAGGTCTTGTGTTTTGATGTGGAATGAGTCAGCTTTATCCTAATTCCTTAATCCAGCAACTCCTGAAATCACATTCATCAACTCAGTCATACCATGATGGCTGTATAAGCTGAATTATAGCTATTTTTAGAGAACTACTACACAGAAATCCATGATAAAACATAATATGTGTCGTAGAAGTGATGCTGAAATTGGGAGAAAACAGTGAACAGAATATGTATCCGTTACTGCTTCAAGTGCATTGAATATGGTCTCAGAAGTTTATATTGACTTTGGCTTGGCCGTAAAAGCAACATTAAGGATAGAAGTATACCACCCAGAAAATAGCACAAAATTGTAGTAATGGTTTCTGCAAATTTGTATTACTTGGTTACTTTGGATAATTCTTTCTAACATTGGCTCCCATTGAATGCATCAAGTGCTAGCTGGTGCTGAATAATTGCAGGTGAGTTTGCATAGTCTGGGCTAAAATCCAAGTTGTGCGAATATTAAGATTTTTACTGATCTGAAGTCTATCATTAGTTGCCCTTTTTATTTACTAAATCAGACCTTTCAGCAACATTCTCAAGATGGTTCTGATGGTATCAATATAGCTAACCTATTGCTGCAGAATGTACATAGAAAGTGCTCTGTCCCTACACACAAGAATATTGCCCAGTTTAGTAGGATGTCTGGGATGCTGGGTGAATAGGTCATGGTAACTGCATACATCAGTTATTGCACTTCTCTCTAGCTTCTGGAGAAGGCATGCTTGTTCACAGTACTGATCTAAGTTTCAGATGCTGTATATAGACAGGTTTAATCAACCTGTTCAGACATGTTATGACACAATTCCAGGACGGAGGCTTGAACCTGTACCTCCTGGCCACAAGAGTCTTCATAGATTATCAACCAGGATGGGATTCAAACTCTCACATGCAGAGTACAATGGATTAGCAGTTCATCACTTTAAATTCCCAGCCACCTCATCAGTGTGTACTCTGTGCGTAATGAGTTTGTTGGAGTAGCTATGGGCTAGTTAATACATTTACAACATGTAACTTTTGTTTCTTTTTGCTGTAAATCTGTCTGGTTTCTCCTGCATGCTTTAGGACAAAGAGATAACTTGAAACTGTTTGTGAATGGTATTTCTTGTCTCCCTAGGTTCTCTGACTATGCTGTTGTCAATGGGTCGGAATGATGGAATTGGCCAGCTTTTTGGCTGGCATGTTGGAAAATTCATTGTTGTTATGGTTAAAAGTAGAGATCTACTAGTTTGGAAAAGCTGGAGAGAAATGGGCCAAACAAAACCCAGCTGACTGCGGAGTGCCTGACTGTTGTCTTTCTGTCATTCTGGAATGTGCCTTTATCGGCTTCTTTTAATGCATATTTAATCCTTTCGAATAAAAATTTATGATCCTGCATCTTTATAAATAATTTGCAAGTAGAAATGATAGAACCTGAACAGATATACAGTAGTCAACCATAACATGATTAAAAAAAATCAAATAGATGATTTATACGGGTGCAGAAAAAACAGCAGTGATCCCATTTCTGTTCACTGATGCTTGTAAAACTTAATCACTCCTAACAATAAATAGATTTTTCAAGCACTGCTTTCGCTTAATATTTGCTTATCAAAATGTTTATAATAAAGTACTTTTCTTCCCTGCTATGTAATGACCTACATTGCATTTGCATCTGTAGGATACCAGTTTACACGAGCCAAGAACTGTCTGTCTTTTGAGTAGGGAATGAATGTCTATCCAAATCTAAAACTGGTGAGGAGGTGACATTTACTTCAGCAGAATTATTCTGGTTGAACTTTCTCAGCTGGTCAAATTGTACATGGACCTGGAAGGCCTACGTTTAAATCTCAGTGCTGAGTTCATTGATTCCAGCAGAATATTTGTTGAAATACTTTAATTGGCCTCAACAACTCTTAGTCAGATACATTCCTCTGCTACTATCTAGGACCTCTGCTGGAAAAGCAAAGTACTGGGATGGCATCTGAAGACCAGGTTGGATTTGGTTTGTTTCTTTCATTTACCCCTGGTTCTTATCTCCTTTATCTTTTCCTGTTTACGGTCCTATATGATCAGTGTCCCTGGGACTGAGATATAAGAAGGAAGTCTCAATTGTCTTCTCACCAACATGTCCCAACATCTTTAATGAATTCCTCTGAATTAATGTTTGAAAGCCCAGAAATGCCATATGTTGTATCTCAGTGGAATCCCAACACTAGAAAAAAAGCTTTATCACCAACAAATCCATATATATTATTTCTGTATTATTGAGTTTTGCTGTTTCATCAGGACCTGTCAGTGTGAATATCTGTACTTTGGGTTTTTTTTTGTGTCTTGGGAAAGAATTTAAATGACTAAGTTGCAGCAAACTAGAGGTGCTGAAATCAGGTTGATTAGATATCCACTTAAAAATGTTAGTGATGCTAAAATGTGCAACATTAGACATTTATGCAAATTTGACAAGTGGGTAACTTGAGCAAAGTTGTGTTGGCCACTCTTGCTGTATGGATGGACTATTCTAGGCTATGTGAACTTAGCACTATAAATTCCAGGATTCTAAGCCAGTGACAATGAACAGGTTGGCAATACAAGTTCAAGTTGTTATGATGTGATTTGGATGTGGTGATCATCTTCCAACATTGAATATTCTCAATTGTATTGCTGTAGAATAACTAGTAAGCTATAGAAAGTGCATGCTAGCAGTGCAGTGTGCAGATCTTCAGTCTATTCTTACCATTATTTTCCCATGAAATGCCAGTTGGTTTTTTTTTTTTTTTTTTTTTTGCAACAAAATAGCCAGGCTGAAAACTATAGTCAGTAATTTTTTAACCATTCTATTGTGTAACTGCATATCAAAGTACTGAACAAATAATTCAATTGACTTTATTCTAAGTCACCACATAATTGAAGGGTAAACCTCAGCAATTAACAGAGATTGTGTGCAACCTGACTAAAATAGACTGTTGTGATGCAGTGGTAGAGCCTGTACCTCTGAACCAGGAAAGTTCAAGTCCTACCTGCTCTAGAGGTGTGTGATATCATCTCTGAGCAGGTTGATTAGAAAATACTTGCTAAAAATTCTGACTAAATAGCCAGTGTTCTCCCGGTTAGTTATAAAGTCACAGGAGCATGGAAACAAACCCTTTGGTCCAACCAGTCCAGGCTGACCATCATACCAAACTAAACTAGTCCCACCTGCCTGCGCTTGGCCTACATCCCTCCAAATATTTCTTATTCATGCACTTATCATTGGCATCTCCTTTCATATGAACACCTCATCCATAAGCCCAAGTCCGACCTTGCGAGAGCATTAAAGCTCAAATCCGCGCAATGGAAAAGGCCACTTGGCAAGGCCGAATTGAAACTAGAGGATGGCATACAAATTTCTTAGCAGTACAGGTATATACTCATGAGGCACAGGTGCAGCCCTCAACTATAATATCTAGAATATGCTGTGAATGATATTCTCCTGTAAATAAGCCTCTAACTTGTTATTATAATTGTACTTCTCACTCTAGTGCCTTTAGATCAAAGAATAAAATTTTACAGCTTTTAAGTTTCATAGTATATGCTTAAACCTCTTCATATCTTTAGCTATCTCCTCACTAAAACTGATCTTTTTGGTAAAATGTTTTGATTGTTGACCCTAATATCCTTGAGATGCAGTATCATACTTTGCTTAATAATATTCCTATAAAATCTCTTGGTCCATGTTATTAAAGGTGATATATAAATGGAAGATATTACTTTATGTGCTCAGCTGTCATCTATGAGGCTTCTGATTCATTCTAGGAGTTTGAATATCAGCTGCTATCAGCACATATGCAGTTATTCCAAGATTCAGCAAACTGGAATTGCATTTGCAGAAGACATTTGGTTCCATTCGTAAGATGCTCTACCCTCCGTTTGGGTGGGGTGGGGAGGAAATCGTTGATTTGGTTTTGTATAAATCAGCAGACATTCTGTAATCTTTGTCCTGAAACGTTATTGGGTCACTTGTTCCTGATTTCTGGCTTTGCTGATACACGGGGGCCACTCCCTCAACAGTTCGGTTAAATTTGTGTAACGTTCATTTAAATCCAGTTAAACTGCCAAGAAAAGATTATCCCTCTGGTTTTAATGAAATGCTGCACCCTTTTCCTTTTACACTTTCTAATATGTATCAAGATCTGTATGAGTATTTGCCCAGTTGAGAGAGCTCTGCTCTGAGTTATTGTTTTAGCACATTAATCCCCTTCAGTTTGATATGCATTCTATTTTGTTTCAGTTGCATCGATATCTCCATTAAGCTAAATTACTTCATACACACTGATGTTTAGTTATTGCCAAGTTATCCATAGTTTGATAAATGATTGATTCTTTGTATTGCAAAAATAGAATGGTCCCCATTTTTATTCTTTAACTGATACTTCAATTGTGTAAAGACGAAGCCATCAAATGGGCATTGTAAATTCCACACCTTGTTACAAACATTTAAAACTGGGTATCAATTGTTGCAACACCCCATTAAATTCTACTTCAGTTTTATTTGTAAATTTTTGTCACCTTCCAATTCTTTGCAATTCAGGTCATGAGTGTTGTGTATTATGATCACACTAGACCTTTGTCTTATGCTGGAAAACCAAAAATGCAGGTCAGTTTTTGAAAAAGCCCAGTACTGATGTGAATGCATATTTGGGTAATGTACTTCTATTTGTGCTGCCAGTATAAACTTGATGGTTGCCAGCCTATCGATGGGCTTAGCCGACTCTATAATTCTGCATTAAGAATGGGCTGAGATAATTTTGAAGCCCAAAATTAATTGATATCAGTAAATGAATTCTAACATAGCAATGGTTCTAAACTGGAGTCCTTGTTAGAAATCAAAACATTACAATACATTTTTCTTCAACACTCATGGTTGCTGGTTTTCACATGGTCAAGTTCTTACCAGCTGTTCAGCTTTATCTCTAGCTAAATAGTGTTGACATGTTGATATTATTGAAATTAAGTGCACAATAACTAACAATGCTGCAGCAAAGAAAGCCCCAGCTGTACAAAAATTCTCACAAGACACCCAATGCAGAAACTTGTCATTAGCGCTGTAGTGGTTGAATTGTCATGCTGTCAGTGAGTTGGTGACATAAGTAGCATTAGAACACATGGTGTCCATACAACTTCAATATATTCCTACCACTTCTTAATACTCAAATGCAATGTAAAGAAATCTAGAAAGTCGTTCCTTCTTAAAAATAAAAGACAATAATGAAGATATTTTATGTTTTAATGAGTATATTGATGATAATGAATTAGCCATTTTTAAAACACAAATGCATACAGAATGGATATGTACAGAACATTTAGTACATTATAACACATTGAACAGCAGATTTAAGGAAATAAATGGTGTCATCTTTGTGGACATATGGCACATTAAAACAACATGTCTTGGACTACCTCATTTCCTGACAGTATGTAACACTAAAACAGACTCTTACTGAAACAACTATGTTTAAACAAACAGTTTTCCCAGCTCCCATTGTTTGCTGACGGGGCAAGGAGTACAAGATGGGGTTAAATGAGATGTGTTTTATTTCTCCCAAGTGCATATTTACCATCTTATGTCAGTGTCTGCTCCCCAGTTGGTAAGGTAACAAGGGTGTATGCAACTTGGAAACATGGCACATTTCCAGATTTAAGGTAAAAGTGCTGATGAATTGTACAATTATGATGCCACATCAAGAAATCTCAGTTCAAATACAAGATGAATGTGCTGGAATATTTAAACGATCAGATTCGAGTTCTGTATTTCAGCCATCTGTTTATGGATGTTGGTGGGATGGGAAGATAAGGAATTTTAAAAAGATTTTGAAATCTCTCTCAAGCCTACTGACACTGCATTTTCAGTAATATTCCCTTAGCACGTTAAATAGAAGAAGGGCAACAGCATGTTCTCAGCACGTGGCATTATTTCTCTGAATTCACCAGAGTACATCACCTGGTGTCTTTAACACACTGGTGATTCTGGCGATCAGAAATATGATTGGGCAGGCCTAGGAATTCACAGTACATGTTTGAATATAATTATCATTACTGTAAAGCCTTTTAAAAGAGTTACTTTTGCAATTTAATATTCAAAAGATCTTGGAATTGCTAAAAGAAATGGGGAATTGTAATAAGGACCAGAAGAGATTGTACTGTGGTTGGTAAAGGGACATCCCACCATTCTGTGAATATGAATTTTTTTGTTCATAGTAGCTTTAGTTCTGGCATTCTTTATTTGCTCCTGTAGAATGACCATGTCCTAAATAAGACACATGGACTAAGTATAATATACGTATAGTAAACATTTCATTTATACTTGTTCAGAAACCTTATATCAAGTCACCAGTAAGATTCAACCATGTTATAAACATTTGGCTTTTGAACATACTATTTCATTTTGGTTTATTTTACTCCACAATTAAAAACATAATAATTGTATTGCAAACTTAGTGTCAACTAGAATTGAATTAGAATTGCTCCATAGCTTGGGCTTGAGATGGAAAGCAAACTTATTAGGGACAATACTGATATTGAAAAGCAACAACACATTAAAGCTGATATTA